CACACACACACACACACACATAAAAGGAAAAAAAAAAAGGCCAAGAAAATTGTTTTTACAACCAAAGGTGCCATTTTGGCTAATTTCCCAAAAATAAATACCTTGTTAACCTTTCTTTCTTTTTTTTTTCTTTCCCTTGTGAATTGCACCAATCATTTAAACACTCAAGTTCAGCAGTGGTACTTCCGATTAACTAGATTTTTATTAGTTATACTGCACTTGAGGAATAGGTTTTCTGATTATTGCTTTCTGTATACTTCACACCCACCTTAAGCGAAAAGTAGAATTGGCCACACATTATGTTTGAGAATTGAGACATGACTTTGTTCATTGAATTCCTCATTGTGTGTACTCCAATTGGATTTTTCAAATTTTTTTGCCTTGCTAAAAAAAGTACCTTTTTTTTTTTCAAGTTTTCTTGGTTAAAGTTTGAGGTCGTCTCCTGATTTTTTTTGCAGGCAGGGCCATTCGGCATATAAATGATTATGCAGCAATACTATTGGTCGATGCACGTTATGCCTCTGACCATACAAGACAAAGCTTTTCGCACTCGACTGATAAGCTGCCACAGTGGATCAAAAGTCATCTGGTTGCCACAACTCCAAATTATGGAGAAGTTCACAGGTTGTTGCACCAGTTCTTTAAGTTCCACAAGAGGAAGGAGATAAATAATTAAGAGTCTAACAGCAGCAATTGGTATATTTCAGCAGAAAACAAATTTTTGTAGGAATTAGGTTTATTGAGGAACAAATTTATACAATTGATATTACTCTTGGGGAGTTGACAATTTTCCCATCAAATTATTCCCGTTCATAGAATGTGCGGCACAAATGTTTGTCAATTTTCTTTCCCGGGCTTTTCACACCAAGCCCTCGACAATGCATAATTTAGAGTTTAGTCCACTGACTCCACAAATTGGAATTTACATGATCATTTGGAGATGCATTGAACAATTGAGTATATCAAGCTTAAATAATGAAGCATGCAATAGACAATGTAAATTGTAATTTTGAAACAATTATTTGGCACAATGGTTAGGCAAATGTATATTTTAGAAAACAACTTAAATAAAAATATAACAGTTACATTATATTATATACTTTTTTATTTAAAAAGTATGCGAATTAACGGAACTGCTTCATTCTAGAATTTGTGTTTGCTGGAGTAATTCCTATATGAAAATTCATAATGCAAAAGCAAAAACTGCATGAAAGTGACTACCCTTGTGCTGATATTAAAATTGCCCTTATCTCTTTTGGTACTGTCAACCAGCAAATGGGGGACTAACTCTAATGAGGGTAGGGGCCAACACCTCTCACCCTATAAATGCTACAGTAAAGTTATGAAAAATTCCTTCCCCGATTATAAGGAGAATTTATAAAAGCTCTTATATTAATGCTTATTCCCGAATTATGTCACACGTACTTAATTGTTCTTGTAAAGATAGACTAGGGTTCTTCCATTAATCCAATTAATTTATTATAGGCAAGAAATTTAACTACTTCACATAAAGCTCCCAATTTCTTAGTAAAACAAATCAGAAGAAGGGCTGGGATTTTAAAGCAGTATATTCACTGCTTTCATATCCTAACGTATTTTAAAACAGTATATTCTCTAAATTCAGGATTAACTTCACAAAAGGAAAATAAGAAGGAATGGAGACAGCACAGCATACAACTGAACAAGTGGTGGTACAAAAACTCCTCATTGCTACTTGTCTCAAGTAACCCCCAAAACAGACTTTAATTTTGTTTGCACTCTCTCTCTCTCTCTCTCTCTCTTAATTTTAGTATTTTCTTAATTTATTTTTTGGTATAACACTACAGACAACTACACACAACACTCACAATTTCTGATAGTCGAGCAATCCCAACAAAGTTTGGAGCTTTCTATTGAAAAAAAAAATGCAGATAGACCAATAAAGATGAGCAGCACCAAATCCAGCACAACAAAAGCAAAGCCACAAATGCTCATCAAGGAAACTCTTGGCAAAACCAAGAAACTCATCCACAAAACTTTCAAGAATCTCAAGAAGTCCCTCATCTTTGTGAAACATCAAGAACAGCCCACAAATCCTTCTCCAAATCCCATCTCTCCGGATGACATCAAGTACAGCTCCAAATTCCAAGAGAAGTTCGACAAATCCCATAGAAGCTACTCCGAAAAATGGGATGCCGTTGAAGTAAAGAAAAAGAAGAAAGAGGTTCGGATTTCGCCAAATGCAGCTGAAACAAAGAAAGATGAGCAGCGCATTAGCATGAGATCCATCAGCTTTGCAGATTGCAGGGGATTAGAAGGCTTAATAAAGGAAGAGAAGAATTCAAGAAAACAATCGGCGAAAAAACCGAAAGGCTCGAGCTTCAGGGGTGGTGATAGTTTAGCTCGAAAGATGAAAGATTTGGAGATGATGAACCCGAGCAATATGGATCACGTGCTCGATGTGGAGGAGGTGTTGCATTACTACTCGAGGCTCAAATGCCCGACTTATGTGGAGATAGTCAACAAATTTTTCATGGATATGCATTCGGAGATCCACATGCCTCAGCCATCAAGAAGTGGCTCAATGAGGAAACTTGGATCAGCCAGTGCGCATGGCTCGATGAGAAGCCTTTGCCCTATAAAGCTATAGAAATCTTGTCTAAGTTCATTTTCAGATTTCAAGTTTGTATTTTGTTCAGTGTTGTGTGCATCATTGATGTATTTATCAATATGCTCTGAAAAGGGGGCATGTTTCAATGTAGTAATCATATCTCTGGGCTAATATCACCAAGACGTGTTCGTCTTTCTAAAACTTTCACTTTCTATATCGGATCCTCTTTGGACTAGGATTCCTATTTCCATACGGTAATGACGAATCATTTTCCATGGCTGGAAATTAGACTTCGATTTGATTTGTAAGAAGTATTTAGTTTCATGTATGAAATTGCCTAAAAGTTGAATGTCTCAAGTGTCAAGTGCATGATGCACCTTTTTCTCTGTCGAGAAATGAATGCTACATACTGTAAGGAAACTGCAAAAGAACATCATCAACTCCACACTCTGTAATTTCCATTAACAAATCAATCAAAACATTCCCCATACAGGCCAAAGAGGATAAAAAATATCAACGAAAGAATTGTACAGAACTGGACAACAACCATGAGACTTTTTTGTATCCTAAATGTTTCAACTTGTTGAGCTGAGGCTTTCAGCTATTCATAAACCAAACACCATTGATCGGTTGTTGTTTTCCCTAACAAGCTGATGCATCACGACCATCTCTATATATGCAAATATCATATAACAAATTATATTACGGTCAATAACCAGAGGAGACAAGTACATTGTGCTCCTTCAGGCGTCTTTGGAAATGAGCCAGCTGATTTTGTAAGTCTAGAATGCCAGCAGCTTTCTGGGACAGAATAGTGTTCAATCGAGAGATATAGTTGTCTAGCTGGTTACCTGGCTGATCGGCCTCGACCAGCAAATTCATTTCCTGATAACAAGTAATGATGAAACTAATTAAATAATATGCTTGGCTTTAATAAGTGAATTATCAATAGCCAATTTATAAC